TATAAAATGCATAATGAATTATCTTAATCATATATCTACACAAAAGATCTCTGTACTTGTTACTTTAAATTGCATTATAAATTAATGATGCATCAATCTTGCTTTTGGTATAGTATATCCATCCGACGGATACACATAAATTGAATCAAGCAGAATTACTTGTGATCGACGAAGCAGCAGCAATTCCTTTACCATATGTCAAAGCTATGCTTGGACCTTATCTGATATTTCTTGCGTCGACTATAAATGGGTAAGGTGTTTCTTCTACAGAAAAAATTTTTTGATAATTAAGATATTCCATATTCACTTTGATCTTTTGGTAGATATGAAGGCACGGGCCGGTCTTTGTCGCTCAAACTGCTTCAGCAATTAAGGACACAGACTGTCGGTTCAAACAGTCACGGGAAGAATGAGGAACAAAATGAGAAGACTTTTATTGGGAGGCAATTGCACGAACTTACTCTTGACGAATCAATTCGTTATAAACCTGGCGATGCCGTGGAACAGTGGCTGTGCGATTTGCTTTGTTTGAACGCTACGATACAAGCACCTATTTTATCCGGATGTCCTCCCCCTGACATGTGTCAGTTGTATTACATAAACAGGTATTTTATATATATATATATAAAATCGTAAAATGTATCTCGCAATTACTTCCCATTTACAATTGAGAAAATTAACACACAGAGAGTGGAGCATTTGAAATTATTATCTAAGATTCTACTAAAAGAATATTTTTTAGGGATACATTGTTCTCCTACCACAAAGCCTCCGAATTGTTCTTACAGAGACTGGTTTCTCTGTATGTTGCATCACATTATAAAGTAAGCGCTGTTTTTCTTCAAGACGAAAACATTTTCATAAAATATCTTGTTAATATTTTACTGATCATTCATTTTTACCTATTTTAGAACACACCTAACGACTTGCAAATGATGTCTGACGCACCTGCGCATCATCTATTCTGTCTTTTAGGGCCTGTGGATACTAATAAAAAGACTTTACCGGAAATACTAGCTGTTCTTCAAGTGAGTACAGTAATAGTTCTTAGAATATACATATATTTGAGCATACTTTTAAACGAATACATTTCGAATTATTCACGAGTAGCTCTCATACTGTACTTATACAATTTATTACTGTACAAAAGTTAGATTTGCAATATATATTGTTACANGAACACACCTAACGACTTGCAAATGATGTCTGACGCACCTGCGCATCATCTATTTTGTCTTTTAGGGCCTGTGGATACTAATAAAAAGACTTTACCGGAAATACTAGTCGTTCTTCAAGTGAGTACAATAATAGTTCTTAGAATATACATATATCTGAGCATACTTTTAAACGAATACATTTCGAATTATTCACGAGTAGCTCACATACTGTACTTATACAATTTATTACTGTACAAAAATTTGATTTGCAATATATATTTACATTTCAGATTTGCTTAGAAGGTGAAGTCAGTAAAAGTAGCGTGAGTGAAGGTCTCTCGCGAGGTCGCAGAGCATCCGGCGATTTGATACCATGGACAATTGCGCAGCAATATCAAGATGAAGATTTCCCAGTATTAGCTGGTGCGCGCATTGTTCGTATTGCCACGCATCCAGATTATCACAGAGTATGTTTTTTTATTACATAGTATTTAACATACACATAAATATACGCCTAACATGAAAGTTACATCGCTCCG